GTTAATGTTGTGAAAAATTGTAAGCGAATTGTACGGAACAACTGAGTAAGTATACTATAGGCCGGCTGATCCAACGCATTAAGACATGAATTATGTGTCCAAGGTTATTAAGTGACTCAGGGGTGTAGAATAACCATTGGATTTAAATACATTAAAAATAAAATCATCTACACCACATGGTAAATTAGCTTTTTTGTCTTTATTATTTGATTTTCCCCAACCGTATTTGCCACTTGCACAAAACATTGACCGAATATTACCATCAGAATTACGGTCTGAATAGATAAAATTGACAAGTTGTCATAAGAACATTTTATGTACAACAGTTTTATACTATCACAAAACAGATATTGAGTATACTATAAAAAGAAAATGTGTCTTATCTAAAGATACTATCCACCTCATATGTTTTCATTTGAGACGCATAAGTGAAGTATTGTAGCAGAAGGTACATCCCAAGCGAAAATAAGTAAGCGCGAGAATCTTACTACAAAACATAAGTTGAAAAATCAAAACTTGAAAAACGTTCTCATTTTTAAAAATATTTCACTTGAAAGAACTTTTATATGGATTATTGGTAACTAGTGGAAAGTCAATCTGCCGGTCGCACCATATAGTAGCTTCCACTGTCACAGCGTAACAAATCCTTTTAGCGTGATGATATCGTATGACAGTTTGAAAATGATTTTGTGGTGTATGAGACTGAACCATGAGATAAGATATCGTCAGTCTCATTGTTATCCTATGGACAGTTTTCTTTTGGCTGATAGTCGTCAAAGTAGTATTTATTATATATATGAATCGCCATACCAAACAGATTATCAACAGTCAAACTACTTGTGCGCATCGTAAACCATATGTAAACTTCTAAATGTGTACCTAGCAACCATTTATTCATTTGTTAAAAAGTAGTTTCTCGATTTTGCAACTATTTCAAACCTTTTGTAAGATTTGATTTTGTATCTCCTCCTGCATAGTAGTTAGTTGTAGCTAGATTAAAGATACGTTTTTCTGGCTACAAGTTAGTTGAAACCGTATTCTAGCTGAAAAGGCGACGTACCTCAATAGACTAATCGGACACGTGCTTGATCAATGATTTATTCCAATTGAAGCTAGATAAATGTATCTTTAATCTCGATCCAAGCGTATGGTTCACAATTTTTTCTCATGCAAGGAATTTGATGTTTTCCACTATTAACTTCATTCATCTATTTTTGTTTTTCTCGTCTATGTAACGGATAAGAGTTTTACTATAAAAATATTCATCATTTTTCTCACTACCTTGTTGAAGTTTGAACTTTCAAAGTAAAAATGACATGCTCACAGCCTACTGGTAGAATCTGCTTGGAGCGATAGGTTCCGTCAGAGACCGAGTCTGTCGACATCGCAACTTGTGCGCAGCGCAATTGTATTCTAGTTTCTATTTCTTCTTGTAAAAAAATATATTAAAAAGTTTATTTGAGTTATTAGTAAAGTTATTCTTACCATTGAATGTTTCTTTAATTTAAATTTTTAATTTCTAAAAACTCCTTGTTTTTAGCAGCTTTTTCAATTATTGGTATTAGTCGATTTGGGCGCTCAGATCTAACAAAAATAATTTCTCTCATCATATTTGCATTGCTACGACTAGTTTGAATACGTATTGTATAGAATAATCGATCATTCCTTGTTGGTTGTTTATCACTGAAATTATGAATGTAACCATATATCGTTAATATCTGATCCTTGTTTTCAGTTGAATCTCCACTAGATTTTCGTTTTAGTTCATTCATAATTATTAAATTACTATATTTTATTTTACTACTAGTATTGTTGTTACTTCTCGATTGTTTGATTCGATTATGATATACCTATGTATATTTCATTAGCTACGATATTAGGCGCCTGGATTTATCATTATACTATATCATTCTTATTCGGTGATGATTTTGATTTTAACTAAACTTCTGATATCTCAAGTCAGTTATAGTTCTGATTCCTTTATATGTGATCTGCCGAGTCTGCCGGAAAGATCATTCTTTCAGCTATCTGCGGGTAGAGCCAAAGTCTGTCGACATTGCAACTTGTGCGTAGCACATGTGCATTCTAATTCTTTTTGTCGATTTGTCTTAACTGTAACTCACGTAAGGTCATCTGATCTTCAGACAGGAACTTGTTGTTGAGCTCCTTCCAGTTTCGTGAGATTAATACTCTAGCTGACAAACGACTATGACAAAGAAAGAAATTTCCAAGATAGCAAAATCTGACGATGAAAAGTAATAAAAAATCAATAAAATCGATGTAGAATTCATTTGGTAAATGTGTCGACTAGGGCAACGTTTCGGATGTGTCTTGTGGTAAGTAATGTAATTACTCTAAAAACGGACATAACAAAAAAAATGACATGGAATGAACATATTGTTTAGGTGTATTCGTTAACATATCGAAAATGTTTTATTCTCAGGCATATTATGTGTGCTCGAATAGGTCTGAAAAATGTCTTATTTTACGTCTTTTTGTGTCCATTTTTAGGGCATCCAAGTGGAACTTCTTATAACCAAGATGTTGATTTCTTGAATTTTTTCAGTAAGATCTTCACTGAAGATTTTCGTAAGAAAACGTAAGAAACTCAGAGAATTCTAAAAGCCCAGAATCTTGATAGTCCTTAAAATCACCATTTTGTTTCACACTCTTGTCTACATATAAGTGTGAAAACTAGCTTTGGCTATCATATAAGAAAGAAATTATAAAACATTTTCATCACAATATTTTGGAACATCTTGCCTTAATTCACTCAACATCTTGAATTTTGTATTTCCTGAGTACAAGAAGTTCCACTGGAGCACATCCTTTTATTTTCTGACAATATAGCTTAAGGATACTCCACCGCATTTTGAGCTAAGCGTAGCCTAATGTCGCGAAAAGTGTGGGCTACAAAATCAGATCACTCCCAGCATTTCACAACCTTTCTTCGAAAAGTTATGCGTTTTTCAGTATTTGTCCTATAACTTGATAAGGAAAGGTCTTTAAAAAAAATGCCTCTGCGATATTAGCTTGAGTAACTCAGATAAATTTAAGGGAGGGTCGTAATGTAATGCAATGGAAAACTTGTGAACGGTAATAGTTAAAAGGAAAACGAAAAAATGTTCCATTGAGTTTTCAATCAGTTCTAAGAATATGAAGCCTTAATGACTTTTAGTTTTTATTTCATAGCATTTCTACGGAAAGTCCAAAATGAGGGGAGGGATACCCTTAATAATTAAATATTGTAAAATGATTTTTGCCTAATGCTATATCAAATATTCATTATGTTTCGCATGTCTATATCTCTTACCCAATGCATGATATTTCTCGAAGTCAACAATCGTATAATTCATTACAGATAATTTATGTTGAAGATAGTCCATTGTATTAATCATTTTTCTATGAAAATGGGTTCTGCTCACACCGTCAAATTCAATTACAAGAACAGGAGGTAAATTTCGTTTTGTTCTATTTTGTTTCTGTATTGATCGGTTTGCTACTTCAGGTTTAAAGATTGTTTGAATAAATAATTGTTCTTGATTATTACATGTAACCGTAAATAATTCATCATCAACAATTGATAATTGAATTTTATCTGTTTTACGTAATAACAATAATTGTTCATTTAATAATTTTTGTCGTTTGTTTACAATTTGTTTATCTGGTAAACGATTAATTAATAATGATACACTTGTTTGACTACCTGTACTTCGATGTGTTATGTAATCGGGTGATAAAACAATGTCTAATGAAGCATTAAGAGGACATAGAATTGTTAGTTGTTGACTTGTTGAATTAAATGTAGAATGATTAGCAATAATTTTTATTTTATCGTTATAGTCTATAGAACAACTATATGAACTTATTGTTTCAGAAATTTTGATTGTACTTGTGAGTGGATGTGGTGGAATTTTACAACGGTATAACTTGTGTTGTTGTGTAACATGTGTTGTTGTATCTTGTGGAAAATTTGATTCTGATTTATAATTTCTTAATAGATAAATTATTGGTAATAGAATTAAACAATTAATAAATAATATGAATTGAAATTTTCGAAAACCAAACATTTTCTTTTTGAATTTTTCGACTGTATTTACATTATACTTGTCAGGATTTTTAGATTTATTTCATAAATAACAACCTAAAAACTCCATATTTATATTTTAAGAAAAAAAAAGCGACATTCTGCAGTTTAGACTAGATAAAATTAGGCATGCGAAAATCATTAAGTTAACAATTTTAAATAACAGTTTGTATTTGACATAATATTTTACACATAAATCTCGGTATCAATCAAATTTGTACTCTTTTATGTAGATGAGTAAAATTTGTTATTTCCGATAATACAGACACCTGTTTTGAGACAATAAAGCGACGAGATAGATTATATTTGTCTTTTTAAACCTCATACTTAACAGGTTTATTAAAAACTATTCTATTAATTGTGTAGGTAGAATTATAACTTCTCATAGCTCTAATGGGGTTATTAAAATAGTTTTTCTTTTTAGAAATTTTTTCGCTGTTTCAAAACACGTACTTGCTTCATATTTGCTCTCTTTTCTATATTTTATTTCTCTTATTTATCCGTTTATTTTAGTTTATAAAAACTGTCAAATTGCTAAAGTTAAAACACTACATACACGCACCTGACTCAACGAATGATAGAAGTAGACATCATTATTCTGTGAAAGGACGTAAATACATGTTAAATATCAAATTTCCAAAAAAGTTCAATTGTTTTCTAATACAAAACTTGACTCACTAATTAATGTTAAAAAGGCAAGAATATTTTCACTCTAATGATAAAATAATGAAAAAAAGTGTGAGACTTAAGTTGAAGTGTTGCTTGCTTTCGTATAAACAGATCTCTTATCTTAGATAAATAGATCTCTTATATTACATTAATATTTATGTATCATCCATCACTTTTGTCGAATGTGCAGCATTTTCATTATTCAAATATTTATTCAAACTAAATTTATTCACCTGATAACCAGTCAAGGCAAGACACATTTGTAAAGCTATAAGTAAAGAAATCGTGAGATACTAAACACAACGTTGTTACAACGATAGTCAATTAGACAATCTAATAAACCAAATAAATATTTTTCTAATTTTGACAAATGCAGGTTTATAACGATCATCTAGTTTTTTATTTGAATTTATTTATGTTCTATCTTATAGGAAGAAACTTTCACCAAGTTAGTATTAACGCCTCGATTTTCTGGCATATTCTTCTATGAGTTCATCCAGTCACATTACGACCCCTTGAAAATTTTACCACTAATCCTATGTCAGGTTTATTTTTTTTCTTTTCAAAAAATATACTTTCCTTTTGAGATATACGGAAAATGCTGAAAGTCATGCAAAAAAAGTCAGTTTTTTTTGCCTGATTTTCAGTATTTTTCGTATATCTTGAAAAGGAAAGTATATTTTTTGAAAGAAAAAAACCTAACTTGAGATAGGGTGTAAAATATCAGTGGTAAAATTTTCACCTCGATCGAACCATTTATTCCAGGGGTCGTAATATGACTGGATGAAAACTGGAGTTTTCCAGAAAAACCCATAGAAGAACATGTCGGAAAATTCCGGGCAAAAATACCTCAATTTTCTTTTTCGATATTCCATCTTTGATGTAAATTTCACCCCGATCAAACATCGACTTCCCCGGTTTTCAAGAAGGTATAAAAAGAAGGGTGAGATACCCTTAAACGTGCAAGCAGAGTACACGATGAGTAAAAACCGTGAAATCCATAACCATCGAAATAAAACCGTATAGAAGAACCATGAAGTAGAAAACTATATCCTGAAAACAGTGAAATTCTAAAGTATAAAAGAAAAACTATGGAAGTAAAACTGTAAAAGTTAAAACCATAGAAACAAAACCGTCTACTTTCGAACTATCGAAGGAAAACCCTGAAATAAAACCGTTAGTTTGAGAACTGTGAAATTAAACAATGAAAACATGTCGTAAAGCTCAAAACTGTAGAGATAAAATCGTGAACTGACAGTTTGTCGAAGGAAAACAATGAGAATAAAAGCGTGAAAGAGTTACTTATGCTTTATAATTGATTTATCGAAGTTTATTTTAGTTTTATCTAAGCTTCAAAATTCACAAAAAATATGCAGTTTCAGCCGTTAGCGCCTCAGTTAAGAGCCATCATCTATCTGATAGGGTTCGACAAACCGAGATACTTGATGTCACCGACCAGGCTCCAATTTTTACCATACACAGAACCAATGTAGACTATCATATAGCCAAAAGACGGTGCTCTAAAAATGTTTCCTTTTTAATACTCTAAGATGCTTCCTTTCCTTCTGAGTTGTAGGTGTCGCTTTATAGAGATCGAGCCTGATGAAAAATCAATAAAGTTCACTTTTTTCCCGAGTCATGCAATATTTTTCAAGAAAATTTTCACGGAAGATGTATCTTCATACGGACTATTTATTCTAAAGTTTTTATCAAAAAATATTAAACATTTCCCGGAGAAATCTCGGTTTTTCATGCAAAACTTGTAGCCCACTTCACTCCTTGGGCGAACGTGATCCAGGCTTGAAATTTTTAATGATGAATCTGAAAAAAATACTTTCGAAAAGTCAGAAGAATGAAAAAGAAAAAAAGTTTGAATATTTTTGAAACTGACAGTGCGGAGTCATGACTTATACCCCAATCAAGATAAAATCCCGATCGGCCTATACGGTTATCCCGATTGGGCCATAAATCCTGATCGGGATAATTTGTATAGCCTAATTGGTCTATATAATCAAGCAATCGTTGGTCTGGTCTCTGTTTACCAACTAAAGAAGAAAAGGACAGTGCCAAAGAGGATTCGAAACTGATTCAGATTCCATGGGGGTCTGCTACATGCACCGTTTGGGATACTGCATAAAAATTCGATCAAAAATCGCGTATTTTGATCGGGATATAAAATATATCCTGAACGGGCTGGGCTGTTTTTGATTTCTTTTAAAAACCTTTCGTTTTGGAAAAAAATAAAAGCTGATTACGGGAATCTAAAACCGCCATCGGATAGGGCACTCAAAACTGTATATGAATCCATGGGAGTCTCCAAAGTATCGGATGATGATAACCTACTATCCATTTCAGAATATAGTGTCCGTGCATCTTTTGATATATGGGGGTTTTATGAATCGGATTTCCAGGCGGTGTACCTGATATGTGAAAAAATAAGAGATTGCTAGGTACCGAAGCAAAATAACTTTTTCACTTAAAACTTTTAACTTGTCACGCAAGAGTCTTAAGCCTCACTGAAGACAATCAGTGGATGATCATATTTGCTTTTAATACTTGTTTCAACATGTTTAGTAATATAGCCCGATCGGGATACAATGATATCCCAGTTCGAATGTTGCTTATATCCCGATCGGGATTTGTAGTCCAATTGAGATAATCACATAGGCCCACCGGGATAAGTATCCCGTTCGAGATATAAGTGATGACTTTGCACTGACTGAAGGGTTTTTCGAAATTTTCCTTCGATTTTTTCAGTTTTGCGTTCTTAAAAGACTTTAAGAAAAGATTCAACCTTTTCTCACTCAGCTCGATGTACTCTATCCAATCATGTGCAAATAAATGCAAAAAAAAAAATTTCTGTGATTTCGAATTTCCGGCACATTACATCTACACAGATAAAAAGCAACAGTTCAATAAAGATGCATTGTACTAGGTGCGGCGAGGTCTCATTTGAAAGTAAATTTTTCACTCTATCAAGCCAGACATACGAACTGCATTAAAAAATTTGATTCATACATCTTCGCTGAAAATTTTGTTGAGAAATACTGCATGACTCGGCAGAAAAGTAAACTTTATTGGTTTTTCATCAGGCTCGACTTCTATACAGCGACACCTATAATTCGAAAGAAAACATTTTTAGAGCACCATCTTTTGGCGATATGATAGTCAACATTGGTTCTGTGTATGGTAAAAATTAGAGCCTGAACGGTGACATCAAGTATCTGACCGTACCGTTCACTGTTGACTTTTTGCAGACAATACTAATGTAAGTTTAATAGAGTGAGGCTTGGAAGATTTCAAATGCATCTATCCCAAAAGGCACTTGAGGAATATTCAATGTAGGGCATTAGTGCGACAGATAAGAGAGTAAAACTGGCATTCTGGAAGGAAGGAGGGATGTTATCTGGAACGGATGGATGTCTCAGACCGTTGATAAGCATCCAAAAGCAGTTCAAACACATGTTTCGAAATAGAAGATGTTTCACAGCGCATGTTCCGGTAAAATATGCCTGTTGTGTGACAATTTTTTTTCTTTGAAGCTGCGACTGTCTTGAAATAGTCCTGATGCCGATAGTCCCGAAGAGTAGAGGGAAAGGTATAGTGAACATCTTCCTCTAAAATGCTGATCACAACTTTCTAAACGTCATGGGATTTTTGCGCAGTCACCTTGTTTAACTAAACCTATACAAGGTAAAAGACCTAAGATTTGTATATTTTTTAAATGTAAATACCGTTTTAACCTTTTCAAACTGCCAGAATCATTAACGTAACGATAAAAATAATAGAGTCGTATGAGGTAATTCGGGTCATTTGCACAAAATCTTTTAGTATTTGGTATATTTCTAAGCCGTTATTGCTCGAATAAGCGTGCTACTGAATATGAACGCCTTGGAAGCTATGTTTTCATAAGCAAAACGAATTTGAAAAAGATTTCAAAGATCGGTTTTTCAGGAGATCTGTGAAAACTGGCTCAGTTCTCTGAAAGCTGACATAAAAATCCATGGAGTTTTTTACGTAGATATATAGTCCGAAGTGCTCTCTACAAAATAAGATCTGAGCGACATCTTAGAAATTTTAATAACTTCAACTGCGTATGGCAGACAAAAAAGGAGAAGAGCTTCAAAAATGAGGCTCATCAGATCGAATTGTTTCAGCAATTTGTGCTGCAAAAAGCACTTGTATTAAAAATGACTTTCGCTATGGACTACTATCCGTTCCAAAATACAAGGCCGATGGTTATTTTTCGAATAACTCAAAAGCAATAAAAGATAAAGGCTTGCGGTTTCTTCATCGTTCAATAGCCAATCTTTATTTGCATATTTGAAAAATAAAATGCCGTTTGTTGAGCGTGCACGTTTACTATCCTTATTACCTCGTACATGGAAGTATGACCAAATAAAAGCAACATTTAACTGCTCCGATCATGCTATTAAAACTGCACATAAAATGCTAGAATTGGAACAGTATATGATAAAATTAGATAATCAAAAATATTTCAGGCAAAAGGCTGTTGTTGTAAGAAAAAGCATGGAAAGGAAGCGGTGCTGCAAGAAATTTTCTGCTGAAATAATATGTCGAAAAACAACTAAATGACGCATTATTCAATTCAGTTTCTGACGCTAATCACGAATATGGGCTTGGTTTCGCTTTAAAATACTTTCTTCAAAATAAAAATGCAAAATACTGTTCTAAAAATTTAATAATTTCTACGTGATACCTACTCTAAGGGATACTAGGGACTTTCAGAGAGCTCTACGTCGCTCATCGAAATTTTTTCATCTATTGATAGATCAAGGTTGGAACTACTTATGCCCCAAATATTTCCAAAATTTGTCTTATACCACGGGAAAAAATCGATTTTGAAAACTGACATTTTCAGCCAAAGCTTCTACTTTCGATGCAGTTTTTATTTGAGCGAAAGCGAATTAGAGGCACATACGCTCCTAAGAATCTCCTAACTGAATCCGGCCAGCTGGAACCTCGAAGTGCATTTTAATTTGTAAGTGTCTTTAGGAAAGTTTTTCTAAACTAATTTCATTTTTATATTTTCAGGTGATGACGAGTCAACGTTCAAGAGTGGGGAGACTTCGGCAAAAAGATGGATCATGGGGATAAATGTCCTTTCTTCTCGAAGGGTCGTGGACGAAGTTTGATGCTATCTGATTTTTTAGTCTGCCACCCAAGTGGCCCATTTCTAACTCTTTCACAAACAGAATTTAAGAAAGCTGTCCAAAAATATCCATCGTTGAAAGAAGAACACGGTGTGAATTATATTGAAAATTCAGCCTCTGCCAGTATTCGGCTGGGTAAAGATGCTTATTTTACAAGTGAAACAATTCTGAAACAATTCGAAAGAGTCGGACAGCTATTGAATTTAAAGAGGACTTCCAGGGACAAGAGATCACGGTCCTGGTCGATAACGCCAGGACGCACACAGCAGTCAATTACAGTGTTTACGATTTCGGTAAAGATATCGGAAGGAAATGTAAAATCGGTCACCTTGAGTATACCGATGAAAATGGTGATTTGTAGCTGATTCCTTGTCATTTTGAACATGGTCCAAATGTGGGAAAAACCAAAGGTTTATTAGAACTGGCAAAAGATCTAAATGTCAATGTTCCAGCTGGATGTTTATTGCCAGAACTGCGAGATTTGTTGAGCCAACATCCGGCTTTTAAAACAGTAATAAACAAAAATTTTAGATGTCAATTGAAGCTCAAAATTTCTTTTTTTCTTCATATTCATAGAGCACAAAACTTAAGCAACTTGGCATCAAGTATAAAATGGAAGTTGGGTACTTCCGCACAGGTCCGCCCACTTTATACACGACTTAAAGCCGGGAAGGTTTGACTATATGCAATCGATAGTACTACTAAAAGTGTATAAAGTTCCCCGGTTGTTCCTGGAAAAGTTACTCCGAATAGGTTTTTCCTCGGCCATAAGTTCTGAATTGACGCGTTTTTAGGGGTGCCAGAAGAGTGAAATCTGACCTTATCTGGTCCTATCAAGCGTTCTCATACTACTAGCTGGAAAGAGCATACAAAGTTGCATATTTCTATCCGCAAATGAGATTTTCTCTTCTGACATTAGGAAAGAATTTTTGACTG